AATAGATGGCCAAATAGCAGTTTGGCGCGCAGCCCGGAAGCGACGGGCTCTTGGTTGTGGTTCTGGCCACGGAGGCGCATCACTGACCGCGTGTGTCCGCGCGCCGCCCGGCCAGCATGTAACCGGACATACACGGCTGCGTACGGCACCATCGGCTCAGCCTGGGAGAGCACGGGCACCAGCTCGCGCACCTGTCACATGCTCATCCAGGCGCCGGAGGGCAGCGTCATCACCGCCAACCTCTTCAGGATCGAGACGACCTACTCGAACGCCGCCAACAGCTGCGACCGGCTGCACCTGCAGGCGAGTTCACACGACCAGGCCTGGGTGGTTCGTTCTCTCTTCTCTGGATTGCCATCATTGAGTATGGTTCCCCTTTAGCACTAATACTGTCATCGTCCAGAGGCCTTCACGAGCTGCCGCTGTCGAGATTGCCGGCGATACCGTGAGGACCAGTGAAGTGAATGCCGGTCGGATCCCGAGCTTACGCGGATTTCACCGGACAAGTCCCTGTCAGCACCTTTGTTTACGTGGCTGAAACGCACCGGATAAACTGTGTCAAATGGCAGATATCTAACACTTGAAATGTGGAACTTGCATTTGCTCGGAACTATTTTCGAAATGGCTGGTAGATTTGCTTCATAAATCAGTTACGACTGACGGCTGCTGGTTCGGAATAGGTCAGTTTCATAAGAAAACAAAATGCTTGTTGTCTGCCATTGAGCACCTCTGCAAACGTACTTCATCATCGCACTGCACGAATCTTATATGTTCACGGTGTTGACTCCACGCCACATGTGGGGAATATAGGCATCCACATGCATCGGTGCCTGTGCAGGAAGGCTCGTAAATGCTTTGACCAGAGCTTTGTCTTCATTCAAACTCGAACGAATGTACAACTGTCCGTTCGTGACTGTTCCAGCTGCTAGATGGAAACTCAAGAAGTTCGCCCCAGCTGAACCAGGCTTGCGAGAGCCTGTATACACCAATCAGCGTTGTGTCTTCGGGCAACCACCTGCTGCTTCGCGTGACAGCATCGCAAACATACAAATTATTCGCGAACTACTTTGTTTCTGACGTTGGTAAGGGAGAAAACAACACCCGCATTTTCGCCCATGAAAATAGGCAATGCATTCTACATATATTTCTACATGCATTCTACTATGTTTACCGGTGGTTTTAAAACTATGCCTATTAACAAATCAGGTGAACAAATCGGGTGCCTATCATCCAATTGTTTCCCCCTTGGCACAGCATGGTCCTCCGAACACCATGACTTCCTTGGGTAGCGCGGTACGGTTCTGTGATCGGTGGGATGCTTGATTACGTATGGTCATCTGTGTTGCCTACGCATCGTACGTCAATGCCTCACACATCGACGTATGTACATACTGGTGCGCTCAACGCAATCTCTTTTCCGGGTTGATATTAAATGCAGCCAATGCCTCGGGCACTCTACTTTGGTACCACTTTGATAAATGTGTGTGTCAGACAACTTTCTTCGTAATAGACAATTGGCTTGAATGGATACGATGTTCGCGGCGAATGTTGAACTCCTTTGAAGTTGATGTCCTCCCGCTGTGCATTGACAATGGCCTGATCCTCAGGAGCCCAGTGTGCATTGACTGTGGCCTGCTTTTCAGGAGCCCAGTGTGCACTGACTGTGGCCTGATCCTCAGGAGCCCAGTGTGCACTGACAATGGCCTGGTCCTCAGGAGCCCAGTGTGCACTGACTGTGGCTTGATCCTCAGGAGCCCAGTGTGCACTGACTGTGGTCTGATCCTCAGGAGCCCAGTGTGCACTGACTGTGGTCTGATCCTCAGGAGCCCAGTGTGCACTGACAATGGCCTGGTCCTCAGGAGCCCAGTGTGCACTGACTGTGGTCTGATCCTCCGGAGCCCAGTGTGCACTGACAATGGCCTGGTCCTCAGGAGCCCAGTGTGCACTGACTGTGGCCTGATCCTCAGGAGCCCAGTGTGCACTGACTGTGGCCTGATCCTCAGGAGCCCAGTGTGCACTGACTGTGGCCTGATCCTCCAGAGCCCAGTGTGCACTGGCAATGGCCTGATCCTCATGAGCCCAGTGTGCACTGACTGTGGCCTGATCCTCAGGAGCCCAGTGTGCACTGACTGTGGCCTGATCCTCAGGAGCCCAGTGTGGCGGCACGTTCCACGGCATGTTCACGACAGTGATCAGCCCAGGCTACCCGGGCAACTACTCCAGGGAGTCGGTGTGCCGGTGGTCTCTCTCCGTGCCGCCGCCATACAAGCTCGGGCTGTACTTCTCAGGCGGTGAGTAGGCCACTTGATTAAGGGTTCTCTCAATTGTGAATCACAAAACAGGGGCCATTTCTCAATCCTGTGCCTCTCTTTGCCAAGGCCCTGGCTGCCCGCCTGAATGCCACCTATCACCGGTGTGAACAAAGTGTGAGGGCATTTCCACCGTGATAATTACGAAGTCACCATTGTAGAGAAAGGTAAAATTTTAGTCATGACTTTTGCATGCATCTGTGTATGTATGTGACTGACATCCTCATAATTTTGAATCGCGAAGTTTTCCGAACTGATGGTCAAAGGTTGGGAGAGTGTCGGCAAAAGGCCAGACTGCGCTAGTGCCTTTGGCATAAGCTTGAGTCATGCCAAAGTCACGGACATGGACTTGCACCATCAAACATGTGAACAACCATGATCAAATCATCACACATCCAACATCATCAACAGCCATGCGTCAAAGTGCCTTCTTCCTTGTCGTTTCTGGGAATCGTCCTATGGAGCTTTCCTTCGGTTAGCTTTACCGCTTTGATGGACTGGCGAAAGCCGGCCGGGCGAAGCTACGTTCTGACGAAACCCAACTGACACCGGCCGCAGCCGTGGACTTTGGCTCGAGAGTGGGCGGCTGCAACTCGACCTACCTGTCCGTGTTCTCGGTGGGCTCGTCTGGAGAGGGGTCCCTCGTGACGACACACTGCGGCCAGGTGAGTGCCGACCGAGGTCAACGGTCAAGCTTTGCGGAAATGAGTGGGCTCGAGCCCCGCGTACATATGGGAATCCTCACGGCGTTGACGCGTCATTTGAACCCAGCAAGTGAACGTCGTATACCTGGGGCTGCGGCGATAATGTATGGCATGCTCGGCATAAAACGTTCTCACAGACAGACTCCGTTCTTGTGGTTCTCACATGCAGACTGGAAATTGCTTGTGGGACGAGGTCATCGCAACGCCCGTTGCTGTTTATGCTGCATTTTACACCCATCGTATATTGAATAGTGGGTGTTAACGATCGGCGCAGAAAGCAGCAGTGCAGGCCCGTGATCGCCCCCAAAGCTGGCTGACCTAGGATGCCTTGAGGTTGTGGTTGACCCACGGCTGATCAGCCCCTTGAGTGTGGCAGACTATGATTATGAACAGTCGTCACGTAGACCGATTTCAGCCTGGCTGCCACCGGACAGCGAAAGCAGCTAACCAAACCACGCGAATGGCCGTGGCAGCTGACGCTTGGTTTTGACCAGTTTGCATGAAACGGCTGCTGGGCCTTGCAGTGCAATCGGCCTATGCAACTCGACACTTAGCAACTCGACGTATATCGCAGGATGAATACAAGCTTTCATTCAATTTGACTTCCCCTGAGGTTTTCAGAATGTGTGCAGTGGACAGACGTAGAAACGCACGTCGTCACAGGCACCGGCGGGCATAGACTTCTGCATAGAGACCCTCGTCCTGCCGCCTGAAGCATCGTGTCTCATTGCCAACAATGACCTGACCAGATGCCAATGGGCCGCATGACAAAGGTCCCGATGGACACCAGTGGGCCGCATGACAGAGGTCCCGATGGACACAAGTGGGCCGCTGAGAGGTCGCAATAGACAGCAGTGGACCGCATGAGAGAGGTCCCGATGGACACCAGTGGGCCGCATGAGAGAGGCCCCGATTGACACCAGTGGGCCGCATGAGAGAGGTCCCGATTTGACGGCAGTGGGGCCGCATGAGAGGGGTCCCGATTTGACGGCAGTGGGCCGCATGAGAGGGGTCCCGATGGACACCAGTGGGCCGCTGAGAGAGGGTCGCAATAGACAGCAGTGGGCCGCATGAGAGAGGTCCCGATGGACACCAGTGGGCCGCATGAGAGAGGTCCCGATTGACACCAGTGGGCCGCATGAGAGAGGTCCCGATTTGACGGCAGTGGGCCGCATGAGAGAGGTCCCAATTTGACGGCAGTGGGCCGCATGAGAGAGGTCCCGATTTGACAGCGGTGGGCCGCATGAGAGAGGTCCCGATGGACACCAGTGGGCCGCTGAGAGAGGTCGCAATAGACAGCAGTGGGCCGCATGAGAGAGGTCCCGATGGACACCAGTGGGCCGCTGAGAGAGGTCCCGATGGACACCAGTGGGCCGCTGAGAGAGGTCGCAATAGACACCAGTGGGCCGCATGAGAGAGGTCCCGATGGACACCAGTGGGCCGCATGAGAGAGGTCCCGATGGACACCAGTGGGCCGTTGAGAGAGGTCGCAATAGACACCAGTGGGCCGCATGAGAGAGATCCCGATGGACACCAGTGGGCCGCTGAAAGAGGTCGCAATAGACACCAGTGGGCCGCATGAGAGAGGTCCCGATGGACACCAGTGGGCCGCATGAGAGAGGTCCCGATTGACACCAGTGGGCCGGATGAAAGAGTTCCCGATTTGACACCAGTGGGCCACATGCGAGAGGTCCCGATCGACACTAGAGGGCCGCATGAGAGAGGTCCCGATTGACGCCAGTGGGCCGCATGAGAGAGGTCGCAATGGACAGCAGTGGGCCGCATGAGAGATGTCCCGATTTGACAGCAGTGGGCCGCATGAGGTCCCGATGGACACCGGTGGGCCGCATGGGAGAGGCCCCGATAGCGTTTGCCCTTGTGACGGCTCTTCATGCCCTCTAGCCGCTATGTTATCCTCTGCTGCAGACGGGTCGGCTGGCGAACTTCATTGCTCAGACAAACGCGGTCGTGTTGGAGTACCACAACAGACCGAGGCACCACAGGCAACGGCTGGCGGCTCAACATGCACGCCGTCCAATGTACGTATCAGCAACGAGCTCGAGGCAAGGACTCACGATCTTTGGGGACTCAGATTTGAGTAGATTGCCCAGCTTTTGAGATGAATCAGTCTCAAATTGGGAACTGAGCTCAGTCTACTAGGGCCTGGAGTTGTGCACGAATACAGCGATGTCAGAGACACGGGTCCGAGACTTAACTCAGATTTTTCAGTCGTGATTGAAGGGCGCATTTTAATCTAAAAACAAATTTTGCGGCATAGATGGTTTAGTTTGAGTATAGAATACTTGTGTAGCTTCCACCATACCTAGTCAGCTTTGTTCGAATTGTGAGATTAATTTCGGCTCGTTTTGCCAACATTTGGTGCCAGTCGGTTTCATTACATCAGTTGGGGGCTGGATGACATAATTATCCGCGTTTGTGACAACGACGTCGCAAATCTCATCAGTATATGTCCTCATTTTGATAGCTACTCTAATGTTGACTCCACAAGGTCTCACATGATATTAATGTTGGATCCAGGCAAAGCTACGACGGGCAAGGTGTAAGTTGGTGCTGCTGTTATAATTCTGACATTTGGTGGACTTCATCGCATTGTTGAGTAGGTTTCTGGCAAGCACATGCAATGCGGTGCCGACCGCCGTATGGTTTGCCACAATTCAAGCGATTCTCCTGTTTCAGACGAGCCACCAACCGACACACTCCACGTGAGAGACAACCTCACGTGAACAGAACACGAACCACTCAGCTCGTGTCGCACCTGCGTGAGCGTCGTTTTTGCTGTGCTTCCACTTTATCAATGTGCTTATAGCGACGGGTTGCATTGCAAATACATGTCTTACAGTGCCTCGTTGGTAATTTCATTCGCCACGTGGGGTCCGAGATCCGGACGCTGTCACGTGACGCCGCGAAGATGCGAACGGATTTCGGGAAGCCACCCCGTCGTTAGGTGGCCGTGAAACGGCTCGTGGAGCTGGGGTGGTGAGGTGACCCCACCAACGACCCAGCTCGTGCGGCTCCTGGCGCTTCTCCAGTCGTCGGTGATCCAAGTGACCGCGGTCGGTGAACTCTCTATATGTATCCGCGGTTTAAGGGCTAGTCATTTGCATTGGTCATTTGCGCCCGGCTCTGTCACCAATGGGATGGTGCCCGAAGGCTAACCATGCCACCGTAATGTAGCTAAAACCCCATACGATTAAGTATCGACAAGACGAAAAAACCAGCAATAGTGTGAATAGGCACAGAGTAAGATATAACTTTGAGAAGAAAGTGGTCAACATCCGCGGAAAATCCTGCTTGTTGGTACACTTTGGGGGCAAGTTGGGTAAGTTTTCACTGCTTAACCATCCTCTTACTCATTTTGCGAAATTACGCTGCTGCCCGCTGTCCTAAGTCTACAACATTAAGGGTCTTACGACTGATGGACGCGATTGCACTTAATCGCCACAACCACACCAAAGATGCCGCTGGCTCAGAACTGCCAACTTTTAGTACATCCCAAGTGTGGTCTTAAACCTGATTTTGGTATACATTTAGTATGCTTTGGTACTTGCTAGGTGCAACTTTGGAGTTCCCAGTGTTTTATTGTCCTGCCACAGACCCATTGTGATTTCAAGTGTTAGTTTGGAAATTCTGGACATGATTGTTTCACATCGTGCCAAAGCAAATGCATGCACTAATGGATGCCAGTATGATTTCAAATCAAACCACCCGGCGGATATGTCTATCTATGCAGTTCAAGGCATTGCAAACTACTATCAGCGCAATCATAGTCCTATGTTTGTCTAGTTTTTGGATGCCAGAAAAATATTTAACGGGGTCAATCAATGGAAACTACTCAACAAGGTAATACGCAGGAATATGAACCTATACTTGGTTAGGCTGTTAATATTGTCGTATAGGTCACACTTTGATGTGCGGAGGTGATTTGTGTGATGTGATTTGATGTGAAGGAGTCATTTGGTGTGAAAAGGTGATTTGAATAAAGGGTGATTTGAACGATGTCGCCATGGTCATGTCTGTTGAAATAAGCTTACATTGCGGTCCAATAGTGCCCTGCAACGACCTCGTCTGCGCAAGGTTGCATCTTCCGCGCACAAGTGTTTCAAATTGGGCGAAGTATCGCTTCATGGTCATGCCGATGACCTGTTACGTTGCCCACACGATCGGAGACGAGAAACATGATTGTTCGCAAATGGGTTTGTATTTCAGCGTCGCCAGAGCGAACGGCCGCCTTCGGTTTCGATGCAGAGGGCAGCACAGGCCCAGGTATTCCCGTGGTATAGGGTGCGTCCTTTCCTCGACTCGTCCTAGCGGTTGGTACGGCTGGACCCCTGGATGACATGGGAGGCTCCGTGACCAGCATATCACGCGCAGAGACCAGTCGCGAACAGGATCGAGATGAGGGCGCGCGAGAGACTAAAGCCTGCAAGGCGGATAAAAACCGCCTTCAGGTGGAAAGAACACCAAAAACAGACGGTGACCGTCGGTTGTTGCGTGGCTGGACGAATACGCGGCCCGGTACAAGTGAGTGCAGCCACATCGGGCCGCCTGGTTTGCTGATTTGTTTGATGGCTATTGGTGCAGTCGTTTGGACCGGTAGGGGTATCTTCTACTGACAGCTGAAATTTGCAGGAAACGTTAGTATGTAAATAATCGTCATTTTACGACAATTCGATCGAAGCATAACATGACACCCGTTCAAATACGCGGAGGGAATGTCTAAGGGTGTAATTTTACGACTAAGGTACCACATACCAAGTCGTATGGAGTATCGATAAGGAGCTAAAAGAAGAAAACAAACATGAGGACGGCGCACATTTTTTTCATTTCACTGTAGCAAAACATTTTCCGGAGCATCAGGTTTCAGAAAAGATCAGAAAGCTAAATACCAGCATTTTTCTGAGACATGGGCGAAGATAAGATTCAGGGTTAACAAGGTATACATCGTGGCCTATTTCGTCATTTGACCTCATTTTCCGACACTCAAACAGGAAATCAGTGGGATTTCTTCTAGATGAGCAGCAAATCAAGTTTGGCAGGTCAGGCACGGCGGTACGCCATAAGGCGACCGGCCGGCATCGGGCGACCGGGCGGGATCGGCTCAACCCATCTGGAACTGGGAGCGCGACCTTGAAAGCAATTGCGATTTCGCAACGAGGTCGAAATGAAGAATACGCTTATATTGATTTTAGGCACCTGTCATTCATCATGAGTCGCATAGGTTGTGTCAAATTCCGTTGGAACGATATTGTGCGCAGCCATCTATTACCGGTTCCGAAACCATCGTTGCTGGACATTTATGTAGCTGATAATTTGTTCATGTCGGCTGATGCGACTACCAAAAGTAACAAGGTCACATCCCCGCCTGCTTATTCTGCACCATGAGTATTGCACCACAACTAAGTTGTCGCATTCAGGTTTAATGCTGTCCTCATCCCGCAGAGGGGTACTTTGGAAATTCGAGCAGCCATGCTCTTTGATATAACTGTAACTGATACGCGTTTCCCGCAATGCTGATAACGATTGTAGCTGTGCACTGCCCCCAGCGTTCGTGATCAGCTGTCATGGAGATGGAAAGTATGCCTACGACTGGAAATACAACGAGAAGGACATCAACCAGATTAAGTATAAAACATGCTTTTTGAAATTTTATGGATGACAGATGAACTATTAATGAAAAGTACATTATTTGTGCTTATCCGTGATGCACTTCGTAACTATTCATAAACTGCCACCAAAATGGACGGTATTCACTATCGTGCAAGGTGGTCGGAACAGAAATGAAACGTCTCCTGTGTCGCCAGGATTCGATCCTGCTCTGGGCAGTACGATTTGCACGTGCCATCAGACGTTTGACGGGACACACTTCGTTCCTTTCCCCGTGAACCATCGTGAACCAACTTTCATTAACGATTGAGGCCAAAATCGGTGACACGTACCGATGACGCTGTACTTGTTTTGCAGCCGGCTGACTGCAACGCCAGTTGGAATATCAGGCTGACTCGGCTCGCTGTGACGGCAGCTGAAATATCAGACTGGCTCGGCTGGTGGTATCGCCTGCTGGTATGTCAGGCTGACTCAGCTCGCTGTGACGGCATCCGAAATATCAGACTGGCTCGGCTGGTGGTATCGCCTGCTGGTATGTCAGGCTGCTTCGGCTGACTGCAGCACCTGCTGGAATGTCAGGCTGACTCGGCTCGCTGTGACGGTAGCTGAAATATCAGACTGGCTCGGCTGGCTGTTTCGCCTGCTGGTGTGTCAGCCTGCTTCGGCTGGCTGTGGTGCTGCTGGTATGTCACGTCGGCTTGGCTAGCTGTGCTGCTGCTGGTATGTCAGTCCAGGCCGAGTTGCACACGTCGGCCGACCTGATGGGTGGGCGAAAGGAACGAAGGGAGTGGGAGAGGGAGGATGAGAGCGACAGCGAGGTAGAGTGGTGGCGAGAGGGTGGGTGGCGGCCTGACGTCACGCAGAGGGCCGGTCGGGACAGCCCTTCAGTGGGCAGCTACCTGTCAGTGACGGCACGCAGCCGACTGAAAGGCTGCCCCGCACCAGAGCCGCGCCACTACCGCCGCCAACAGCAGCGGGTCCTCGGTCAGAGCCACCGCCACCAACAGCATCGGGTCCTTGGTCAGAGGCACCGTCACCAACAGCATCGGGTCCTTGGTCAGAGACACCGTCACCAACAGCATCGGGTCCTTGGCCAGAGGCAACGTCACCAACATCATCGGGTCCTTGGTCAGAGACACCGTCACCAACAGCATCAGGTTCTTGATCGGAGGCAACCGCCACGAAAAAAGAATGGGTTTTGGGAAAAATGGGTTTGGGAAATGGGAAAATGACACCGAAAGCGACAAGTCAAACCTAAGTAGAGCAAAAAGCAGCGTAACGGACTATGTTTGTAAGTTAAGTTCGTAAGGTCACGTTCGTGACTAGAGCTGCCACTGTCCGAAGTTCTGAAAACTCCCCTGTTCCGCACCCCAAAATGTCAATAAGCCCCGCTCCACAGACTTCTTTTAAAAGATGAATTTCTTATCAAAAGTGAAAGAAGAAAGCTGACATAAAGATTCAGTCAGCCAGTTACCACATCTTTCAGATTGTTTAACGTTGGTTAACTGTAAACCAATGTAGACCGATTGCAGCTTTTCAGCTGCATCCTGGTGGTCTTACGACTTAAGTGCCTGTACAGCATGACTGATGGTTCACGAAATGCAGTACATACAGCAACATGGTGAAGTACATACAAAACATAAGCAAAGCTGAGCATATCTCATGAGAATGAAACAATCACCACTGTATAGGCAGCATCAGTGATACACATGATTCCGAATGAGAAATAGATTAAGACGAGGACAGGCCGACAGCCAAAATCTGTAAGCAGTTTGGAGCCTACATCATTTGAAACATGAACATGATAATGAGTCATTTGGAACATGAGTCATTTGGAGCCAGCAAAATTCCACAGCCTGACATGAAATGGACAAAACCATCGTCAAGTTTCTCAAGTTATGAGAAACTGCATTATGTCAGGTCGTAAAATACACTAGCCTGTGCATAACACACGGCAAACTTCCATCATATCAAACCTGTCGCGACGTTTTATCCACATGTGTCATCTATTCCCTGGGGCGTTCATGACGTGAAGTTTTTGAGTCCGTTTCAAAGTCATTACAAAACTTGGCTAAGCGGCACGTTTAACATGCTAATGGTCATTAACCATGTCAGAAATCAGTCGGTGCTTGTAGCCAAATTAGTCATTTTTGGATGACATGCTCACACGCAGATCGGCATCGGTTTCAACAAAACCTTGACGTTGGTCACATCTGACTTCACCTCTGCCAACCATAGAGG